TGGTGAGTCTCAGCTTGTCATGCGTCAAGGTTTAGGATAAACCGTGTATGGGAAAGCAGGGGAGAACGTGCAAAAGAGCTGGGAACCCGAGGCTGGTTGTCGGCACCTACGATTTCGAGCTCGCTTGGTCCGGTCCGCAATGGCATCAAGCCTAAGCCTGGTCCGAGGAACTCAGCAAGAGAGAAACTACTTCACTGACATCTATAAACTTCTGAACGATGTGGCATGTGGCATTCTGCCTGGACCGTTCCGTTGATCAAGTGGCCCAACGATAAATTCTACTCTGCCTTGGAATGACATCTTGTGGTGAAGGATGTGCCCCAAGAAATCCAAGTTCCTGGTAGCTTAAACTGCAGCCTCGGAGGCACTCTTCCCGAAGCCAGTGGGCCAAGCCGTCCGGGTTGCCCGTGCGGAGCAAATCGTGCTCAACCTTTCTTCCGTTGTTATCATGTTCTGTCCGCTTTGCAGTCCAGGGCTGCTCACCCCCGGCGACGGTCAGGACACGAAAGCACGAACAGAGCTAGAGTGAAGCCGCCATGCGGAGCTGAGGAAACAAGGCTAGAGGCACATGGTGAGGTGCAGCAAAGCAGCTTTGCTCGTCATCTCCACCTTAAAGGCAGTAAGCTCCTCCGGAAGAAACAGACGTTTTACATGCATCTGCAAGCAAGAACCCCGCAGCCTCTTGCGCAGCAGATGCTGGCTCAAAAAACCAAGGCCATTCAAGAACTCAGGCCCACATGAGACGGGGGCTGTCCACTTGAATACCGAAATAGTTGAGCTGGAACTCCAGTGACTGACTGTTAGAAACACCAAACTGGATGCTGTGGAGCTCGGCTCCTCCAGATGGCTGCGGATGGTGCGCTGCACTACGCTGGCTGGCAGCTCTGCGCAGACCTTTACCAGCAGCTCCTGCCAGCAACGCGAGCAAACACAAGCAAAGACCCGCAAACTCTAAGACGCTAAGCCCGTCGAATCAAACCTATACATCAGCAATGGCTCCTCTGGTAGTCGAGCAAACCTGCGGACGGCCAAGTGCGTTAGCTGTATTGCCTCACCCTTCATTCCAAAATACAGCTGAACAGAGTTTTCTGCAGCGGATCCCAAGCACACCTCCGTTTCTTTCCTGTTTGGTTTAATGAGCCGTGCTTGCACCCGCAAATAAGCCAGTGTTCATGTTCGGGGCAGTGATTGGTGCTGAGGTTTCGGCGTGCAGGCATCACCAACTACGAATGCAGAGGATACCATTGCGGCCATTGCATTTGGCATGCTGGACCGTCATCTCTTTGCTTTCTCAGCAGCAAGCTGCGGTCGAACAGGCCAACACGCGAGGAGAGCAGCGACACAAGCCTTGCTTCTTTGAGGGGGCTGGGGTGCCCATGCAAGCTTTTGCCATGTCAGCAATAAGTTTTATTTTGCAGCTGTGCATTCAGCTTCGCATGCTTGTTGGCACTTGGCACTACACGGCCTCGCAAGATGGCTTCAGGGTTGGGAAACAGTGCTGCCACTCATGACTCTATTTCGTAGCAGACAGGCAGCAACCCGGGTGCTCCGGGGACATCCAATTGCAGATCCTGGCATGATTCGACAGGAATCGACAAACTCCGGACGTGCATCCTGTTCAATTGAGAGTGCGTCCTTTCGGGGCGGCAGTGAGTGGGCGAAGCTTGAACAGAAGGAAGCAACGCTCGAGTTGCCACTCGATGCTTCCAGTAGTCAGTCATATTGATCCCTTCATCAAACTATTTACACCTTTTGCAAGCAACTCAAGGAGCCGCGCGAGCAGATAAGCTCCTTTGCTAGGCAACTACCCGTGTCACGGCCCAGCCTCCCAAGCGAGGACCAACTTCTCGAATCCTTCCGAGGGTTTTGCAGGAGCTTGGCGACCGCCAGAGGACATGCACTGTACCCCCCCTGCCTCCCACCTCACACATAAACGAACCCAGCAGGCTGGACGGGAGTTTGTTAGATCGGGCACTGAAGCAGTTTAGGCCAGGTTGTAAGCAAGCTGGAGACTCTTGCCGTCGCCGTATCGACCGCATGGGTCACTTCTGTGCCACATACCTGCACCTCCTCCTATCCTCCTCCTGGATCTTCTCCATCGACCACACAGGCTTCGGTTGATGGCTCGCCCTTCGCTTGAACCAGCCTGTCCTCTCGAAAGCTGAGCTGTGGAAAGGAGGCCGGCATCATGTAAAGCTGCAAGTAGGGGGACGACGGTGCAGCGATCCTCCGTGCTGGCAGGTTTCTAGGCGTCAGGGGGATGTACTGCGTCTACCCAAACAGTTGCTAAATCATCGATCCTGAATACGAACCAGTGAAGCGGTAAGGCTTTAACAAATACGTATTCACGATCAATCTGTCCCGACAGCGTGTGTAGTGGGTGACAAATGCTTGCTCGGCTTCTGGGGGCACGCTTTCTGAAGCATCTTAGTATCTTAGTGGTGTTTGGGCGATGTCAGCCAAGAAGAAGTCTCTGTCTCTCTCATTTGTTCTCGGGACTGAGACCAGGCCTCCCCCGACATCCCCCGACCCAGACCCGTGCCGCACTGTTTGCAGAGTGAACAAAGCCTTATATGCCTTGCAGATATTATAGTCAACTGAAACTCTTTGTTCAAAGTAGTCTTTCTCGATCACTCGCGCTCCTTGTCTCTCGCTCTTTCTCTGTCCCTTTCTGTTTCTCTCCATCTCTTTATCCTTCACTCTGCAAATCATCGCGGTTGCAGACTGCAGCGGTGGTTGCGAGCAAGCCTGTCCTTCTCCCTCTGATCGAGAGAAGCGCGCAGCAACAGCGCAGCCAGTTCGTCATGAAAAGCTGCGCACCCCAAGCCCTTGATGGACGCCACCATGCCTCCACTGTGTTGGCAGGAAACGGACTTGTTGCACTGCGTCACTGAGCATACGGCTTTCACAGACAGAATGGGGCCGAACCGAAGCGCAAACGTTACTGCCACCAGATCATGAGTTCAGGACAAACCCGCGAAAAATTTCAAGTAAGCCACCTTCAACGTCTCCGGAGCAGAAAAACTCAGTCGCAAGGAGCAGTGCTCGTCTCTTGAATTCGCCGAAGTCAAGCCTGCCAATCTCGTCCAAACATACCGACTGGGCTTCAGTGTTCACGGGAACGTGCAGGATCTGTTCTGTACTTCGCAGTGGGCAGGGCGGCTTGCCAGTTCCAAGTTCAATCAAGGCAAGGCACCTTGAAACATGTGGTCATGCGCAAGCCCTGAAACATGTTGCTAAATACGTCGCGAATTGCGGCCTCGTGTCATCCGGAGGATCTGCGCAGGTAGGAGATGGAACCTCCATGTAGGAGAGATGGAGGGAGAGCAAGAAAGAAAGAGAGACAGAGAGAGAGTGAGTGAGTAAGTGAGTGAGTGAGTGTGTGCGTGTGTGTGTGTGTGTGTGGGGAAGGGAGAGACGGAGCGAGAAAGGGAGAGAGAGAGAGAGAGTGTGTGTGTGCGTGCTTGCTTGCTTGTCTGTTTGTTCGCATGCACGTGGTGGTAATTAAGTATACGTGCCTAACGAGGGCAAACACAGACACGCAGCAGAGGACAACGCCTGACTTGTCTACGGGCAATAGTGGTTTAGCTCTCCGTCTGCACAATGACTGATAATTTAGTTCAATCATGGCCACCGTCAGTTGCTGCGATGAGGCTCCTAGCCCGTTTTACTCGGTGGCCTTGCAGTCTACCAGCCGGCAATTCGGAGAGATCTGTCGAGCAAATGAATGGCCCATCTCAGCATCCAGGTCCATCTCCTGGACAAAAATTGGATTCAAAGAGGCTGTTTATTGTGAACTGGCGCGAGCACGTCCGTGATTGTATGGACAAGGGTTTCAGCAGCGCCCAGCACACCATGACGAAACCGTAGCCCTGAAAGCGTCATCAAGCTATCCGTCCGCCCCTGTGATGCAACCACGATGCATCCAAGGGCTGCGGATGATGACCAGGCCGAGCAAAGTTGTGTTGACCGCATGTTGCAGTTGCCTGGGCTCGGAAGCGTGCAGGGTGCGGTGCGGGCGGAGGGATGAAACTGAAGGAAGAAAGTCACGGTCCAACGTATACGAAAGTCTTTCCAGCAATGAGCGTGATTTGCGGCTTGCGGGGCGCACATGCTGTTGCAGCACTTCGGTTGTAAGCAAGTGGTTGCACGACGAGGCTGCACTTTCAGCTTTTGTCAGGGATTCTTGGCATGCATCTTGACACATGTGGGTTTCCGTGGCATGCTTCCTGATTTAGTTAGGCATGTTGACACAGTAGCGAATTGAAATTGCTCTCAACCTTCAGAATGGCAGAAATTCGAATCATACTGGTACATACCTGCTGCGGCGTCCAGAAGCACATCTTGCTTGAGCCTCGCAGCACGAGCCTTTAACCCTCAAGACACTGCCTGCAGGCGAGGCTCGGTGGCCATCGAAGCGCCAAACAGAAGGACCAGGACGGAGATTGTTTCGATTGGGGGGGGACGTTCCGACTTTCGAGCTGCAAAGGCTGAGGTTGAATGAGGTTGAGACGCGTCTTCACAGTCGAAACGCTGCCTCGCGAAGATCTGAGGCTCGGGCCCTAGCTCGTCTAAGCCTTCCCCATTCTCTGACTCTCTGTGCTCTAAGCCCGTCCACCCCGCGGCTGTCGCTCCAGACCCCAGGGTCCCAGTGTCCAGAAACCTGGGACCTATGCCAGCAGAATCCGTGAGTCGGCGCTGAGCCTTCCAGAGAGGCCATAGTTCGCACAGCTGTGGCACCTCAGCGGGAAGCCCAAGGTCAAGGTTCGAAGTCTTTAGCTTCTGTCAGCTGTCGGTGATCTTTTGCCTCGTGTGTGTGTGGGTCTAAAGTCAGAAAGCCCAAGGGGTGGTTTGGAGCCAACCACTATATGTCCTACCGTCGGGTTGAGCAACCATGGCCGCCGCGGCAATCCCCGCGAAATCCTGGAAAGAACAATATTTTCAGTGCAGAAGCTCCCTTAGCAATGCGACCGGAGAGTCTTGCATGCAGCCGTTCATTGTCAGCGCCTCAGCTCGATTGTGCCAGTCTCTTCCGGGTTGTTCTCCTGCGCACGAAGGATGCGAAAAATATAACCGTTGTAGGTCTTCATCTCTGGCAGATGGTTCTTCTTGGCGTAGTCAACCATCGCTCGAAACACATCCTGCTTTGGAGCGGCAGCAGTGGCCAAGAATCCCCGCTTGCAAAGACGTGCTCTGACGCTGTCATCACGGGGCGATATCCGCCACATGCCGTCTGTCAGGTGTGACAGAAATGCGTGCCTGAGCTTCTCCTCCACGTCTGCAGCTGCATCATCAAAGCTGGGCAAAGACTTCAACCGTTTTCGCAAGCGGTGATGGTTCCCAGGGGCATTCACGAACACAAGCATTGCCTCTAGCATATCCGAATTCAGATCTCCGTCGATGTATCCTAGCTTTTCCAGGGCTCGCCTGACAAGGCTTGATGAGTCTTGCAGCATGAAAGGTCCTCCTCCTCTGAAGACTGTTCTAGCTACAGCTGTGCCGAATTTGGCCAACTGCCCTCCGCTGGGCTTTCCATGAGCAGATGTAGGAAGGAAAAAAGCCATGTCTTCGGTACATCGCCGCAAATTCTTCGCGCTGTGCTGCTCGATAAGCTGACAAACCCTTTGCACGCAAAGTTCTCGCGGAAACACAGTAATTGATCCCCCCAGCTCATTCGTGAGCCAGAACTTCGCCGCAGCCGGCCCAATGAACTCCCTGCGCGCTTCTTTCATGTATCCGAGGTTCATCAAAAATCGTTCACACGTACTTTCCGAATCGGCATTCTGCGGAAGGAACCACGGACCACCCACTTCCACGGCCCCCCTACCGTCTGCATAAAGAACTGCTCTGACTTTCGGCAACTCCGAGTGGGACTTCAGCTCGTGGACGTGAACCCCCGCATCCAGATACTGCCTGATTACCCCTACTTTGTTGGATGGGATGAACAGAAAAACCTGCTTGCCGCGGTCCGCGGCCCGCTTAATCGCATCCACGAAGTCGAAATCAGAAGCCAGGAGCGCAAAGCTCGGGGCGTCGTCGCAAGTCGTAAGTGTTTGGATTATGATGTCATCATTTGCTTCTTTGACTTTGCTCTTGTCTCGCGGGACCGGGCGAAAAAGTATTCGCTTGTCCTGGAATAACTCATTCCATCGCTTGTTGGAATTGCGGCCGGGTTCTGCAAAAATTGTTGTATGCACCACCTGCTTCATCTTCTCCAGCTCACAGATGGCATCCCGGATATGGTCGATGCTGTGCACGTCTGCATCGACCAGAAGGTTGGTGAAACCCGTGAATTTGCCCGGCAGTGCAGCACATCTGAATCTGCGGCCAAGTGCTTTCCGTCTGGCCGACCTGGGCGTCGATACCTTGAGTGTCGGAGCATTTCCATGGGAGCGACTGGCAGAGGGGCAAACAGTTCAATCATTACTGAAATGTCGGTCAAGGTGCCAATGCGGCACTGGAAAGAAAGATCGATGCAGCTGGCAGTTGTAGATCTAACTTGGGTCGGAGTGTATCGAGCACATGGGGCGTGTTAGCCGAACTCCAACGCAGGCTCGGCGAGTGAGGTCGGAGTCTCAATCTGGAGATCTGTACTGGCCAAGCCTGCCGCGACTCGCACATGGCCACTGCAAGCCGAACCACAGCAGCTATCGTATCGAGATGCGATTGTTCGAGGCAGCTGTTGTTGCCAATCTGATCCCCTGATTACGGCATTCGATTGATGGTATTGACTTCGCGACTCGATTGGACAACAAGACTGGGGGCGAATGGTTCCTGTATGATTGACTCCTAGTACCACCTCTTGTGCTGTACACTTGGAGTATGGAACATGGGTTCCATAGCGAAGTGCAAAGCCAAAGCTGTGTCGATCCTAAACTTGCAGCATGAACTGCAGACATGAAGAAGCTGTCCAAAACCAAACACATTGCCAGCTAGCTGTAGCTGAGTGAAGTACATGCGCTGTCTGTGACAGGTGCTGGGAATCAGGCTCATGAGCATCTCACCAGTCGCTCCGAGTCTGGCGAGGCATCGCGCCTACAGCTGTGTGACCGTTGCCGCCCATGTACACGCTAGGCCGCCAGGTGTAGGACAACAAGCTTTTCCATGACTGATGGACAGGTCTTCGTATCCGCCACGCGAGGAACCACAAAGGGAGCATTGGTTTTTGAGATCCTGACCGCATTTGCCAGGTCTTGGCAGCTTAGCACCGACACCTGCAGAAAAGGACTGTGGAGGCTTCCCTTTTCTGATGCTCAGTCGCCATGGGTGAAACCGGCTCACAGGCCTTGCGCCGGCATTCGGCCACTGTCGCATGGGTCGAAGACGGCCTTGGCCACAGAACCGCGCCACGAAGCACCTGTGTTCAGCCTGAGGCAGTGGCCATCTGAGCTCCGGAGTCGCAATAGACCGCGCGATGTTGGAGATGTTTTGGCCTCCGCAGTGATGACTTTTCTGCAGTCCCCAACAGATCAAGAGAGATCAGCTCTCGGGGTGCTAAGGTCAATGCTCTGGAACTCGGCAATCTTCTCCACCTGAACTTCGCAGATTGCAGAAACTTGCTGGACAGACGAGTTTCTCTAGGTTCAGTATAGCAACAAGAACGGCCTGTGCGACATTGATAGAGCTAGCCCGGAAGCCCTACTGCCCGCTTGAGGGCTCGGGCAGTGCGCTGGCCAGCCGCGTGCATCAATGGCTGCTCCGGCAAGACCAAACGTCCCTGCAAGCACCCGATATCGCACGTTATTGAGGATACGACAGTGCGACTCAACCATTTGGCGTTATGTGGCAATCACAGCAGTACGATTTGCACTTCCATTGCGAGCTCTTTGATATTTGCGCGGAAATCGCTCCACCACTTCTTTCAACCTTCCATCCAATGTGTTGTTAGGCGAAATGGGTCTGCAGGGTTAATTATCCGCTTCCTTCATATTCTGCGCGGTCATGTGGCCACTATAGGCAGGCTACTTGAATCAACCTCTACGATGATCAGGTCAAGAAGACTTCAACTTTCCTTAGCTTTTCTAGAGGGACCCTGCTGCGGCGCCTCGTTATGTCATGGAAGTCCTAAGTCATGCTGAGGCCCTGGCCCACGCCCAGGCAATGTTGGCCGGCCCCTGCGGGGAAGAGAGAGGGTCGATTTCTCGAGATCGCATCTTGCTTGCCTTTGGCTAGTACTAGTAGGGAATGGAGGAATGGGTTACAATTGTAACTACTATTACTACCATTCTTCCATTCCCTACGAACCCCAACCCTACCCACCACCGCCTGTGGGTTCATCTCGGTAATCTTGTCCAATGAGCATACAGCCAATGCCTCCTAACAACATGGAAGCGCTGTCGAATACGCAGTATGTCCGGCCGGCAAGCAACAAACTGTGGATCTATGTTCAGCTCTTAAGCTGAACAGTTCTTACAAGGACAGGTGTCAACACCATTCTCCGGAGCTGTCCGTACACAGCTGGTGCAGGCAGTCCAAGTTCGCCTGGGTGGTCCAGGTGAATGCGTTATCCCGCTCCTTCAGGCTACAGTCTGGGAAACTGCTGTGGCCTTACTGCACAGCTCGGGACCAGACGAAGCTCCGTGCTGTGTTTGAGGGATTCTGCGCCTCTGCAGAAAGTCAGCATGTTCTAGCTGCACTCGGTCGACAGTTTGGCCTTCTAAGAAGCACTGAAACTTCACAATCATGTTTAGTATTGTTTAGTTGCCCACCGCTTCCGCATCGTGCCGCAAAAAGGGGTGAGGCAGCTCAGCAAACGTAACACCCCAGGCACACCAGGAAAGCGAGCACCACGTCTCGGTGCAGCAGCGCACAGGTACTGACCAAACCGGCCTGGAGCTCCGAGCAGCGCAAGCAGGCCTGTCGCTATGAAGCTCGGCGGTGTCCCTTCGAGGTATTATGGATTTTACTGGTATCAGCTTTAGACATTTACTGCTTGCTGTGAGGCTCGCGGCCCGGTGGTCCACAACTTCACACTTCAAGGCCTTGCTGGTGGAAACAAGGCTTGTTGGGAGAGTGGTTGAGATGAACACACGGTCAATGACCGAGACAGGGGGATAGAGTCGGACAGAGAGACAGTGGGATAGAGCCATAGAGAGAATAGGAGAGAGGGCGAGAGACAGAGACAAACAGAGAGAGGGGGAGAAAGAGGGAGGGAGGGGGTGGGCAGACGGAGCAAGGTAGGGAAAGAAAGGGAGGCGAGGGGAGCTGAGCGAGAGCCATTTTGGAGCGCTGAATTTCAAGATTTTCCCGCCTGGTTGGCCGCAGCAGCAATCAGAGGCTGCCCCACCAATCCCAGAGTCGAAAGTCCCCAGACCTCGGCCAACTTGCTCGCACGAACGCGGCAGGTCCGGGCACCAGCATACACGGTGGGCATGTCCACGAAAACTCGGCTGGCGAGCCAGTCCAGCCAACATGTACGCGTCAAGTCCATTTACATCGCCAAGGGGCCAGGTTGGCAGGACCCTGGCCTTGCACCGCAAGCACTACGTCCGAGTGTAGACTTAGACCAGGATGCTTGGATGAAGTAGTAATCTGGATGTTCTTGGGGTCCTGATGCACGCAAGCCTTCGTTTGTTTGGCTCCGTTCCAGCATTCGTCTGTCCCCACAGCATGGATTGCCTTCTGTCTGCTGGTTCCCCCGGTGAGTTTCATATTCGTCAAGCACGTTCTGCGCAAACTTCGCGCAGAACATGTTCTCACGTCATCTCGAAAGGCAGAAAAGGCATGATGCTCGGAAGTCCATCACTTTCCATCACTACGTGCAGGCATTTGTTCAACTTGGCATGTAGTTCATTCACAGTCTCGCGCTGAAGATGCATGGGTGCAACACGACCAGCCTGAAAGCTGCGGGAGGGCGACGTAAGCTTCACATGCAGTGGCTGCAAACCTAGACTGCAAGGAGGTCTTGAGAAAGTCGACTTGTTGTCACGTTCCAATCTTGCAAGTCGGCTGACTGGTCACGTGAGCCGCGGGCACGGGCTGACGCAAAGGTCCCGGAGTGGTGAACCTCGGCAGGCAAACAGGGGCAGAGGGCCTCCTCTTCTTGTGACAACTTGGTCCCCGGCCCCCGAGCTCTGTTTGCCAGCGCTTGCGGTTCACAGCCGTGGAGATTCGCAGCGAAGTGGCTGCCTGTGGCCTCCAAGCCTGGCCAGTCCAGATCCCACGAACAGAACACTCGCAGCGGGCACCCGGTTAAGCATGTCAAGCCCGATTTTTTTGATTGTAGACTTAGCCGCTGACTTAGCCCGTAATCTTGATCCTGCCTCTGTCATCCCCTACTCGTACGCACTAGCTATTTGCGTTCGCCAGCTGGGGTTCGGTCAAGACTCATCGGTTGCACCGACCGTCGCGAAGCCCCAGACTGCATTCGACCTGAAGCTCTGCCAAGAGTGCAACCGATGCTTCCAGCTACGAACGTAAGCCGCAAAAGCACCCAGGAAGCAGCCTGAAAGTCTGTGAGGGCCGTGCGAATTCTGGGCATTGAACTCTTGGAGCCTGTCCAAGGAAGCCTCATTAACCGCTTCTGGCAGTCCAGCGTTCGAAGGCCATGCGTGAAATCGTGACTGCAGTAGCGCATGCTGCGCCAGCGAAAGATGCGTCAGTCTTGATGGATGCTCAGTGTCCTCTGTGGGTCGTCGTACCACTAACCTCCCTGCTCATGCAGTGGTCCTACCTGTAGGAGGGCCGCGGTGTGGGATTGGGATTCGATCTAGGGGCTGCGTTCCTGAGTCGGGAATAACGTTGCAATATTGGCTGAGAACCCTGTCTAATTTCGTCCAACAGGATGAAATGCAACATTTCAGGATCTGAAAGATACATATTGCACTCCACTGCAAATCAAGAATTGACAAACTTGACATTCCCTAGGGCTCTGGAACATGACACCGACCTCAAGTCTTTTGCCCTTGTTGGCCCGCTTCTTTCGCCTGGGGCCTGACAGATTCTACATACCAGGCTTCCGGCCTTCTACAGTATACCACAGCCCGGTCACAACCATCTAACCTGCTCATACCTCTTCCAAACCCTCTTGCGGAGAAGTCGGACGAGGCACGGCGCCGACCGATGCCATCAAAGGCTGGCCGAGGAAGTCGGCCTTCACATTTGACGGGAATCGAGATGCTTTTGCGTATTGTCGGTTCCAACTTCTAGAGCTGTTTCATCTAGATCCCCTTCGATCAGGCCTTGCCAAGTGCCCAGGCTGTGTTGGTCGGATTCTGCGGGTTAGAGTCCAACAGCAAGCCTGAATCCGGGCAGCGTCAGTGCACTCCACAAACGGCAAACTGAAAATGCTCGCCAGCTGTGTCAAACTTCCACGGCAGAAGCTGAGGCGCATGCGCTGTGCTTGGCGAGATGTGGCATGCCTCGGCTGGCTCCGTCTTATTTTGCAGAACGGAACGAAGCTGGGCCTAACATCTGCATGATGGAGCCTGTAACAGAGGGGACCGAGGAGAAGGAGCGTGCCTAACAGTTTCTCGACCTCAGTCTGCACGGAGGACCTCCTCTTTCGCCACTGCAGATTTTTGGCAAGCGCACAAGGTTTATTGCGTCCCAGACACAATGCACGCTGTGCAGCAGTGAAGCTTTTCTTGGAAGCTGAGGGCCCGACAGCAAAGGCACATCTAAGGTCACCAGCTTGGCAAATGCCCAAGCACTGTTCCCCAACCTGATACATACATACGCGTCAGATGTAAAGCCCACATGTGAAAAGTGGGAGTGCAGTTGGTCTCTTACCGCTTGGCAGCTCTTTGACCACTCAATATCTTCTATTTTCAGAGGTTTCAAGGTCAACAACCTTCTTATTGGATGATCGGGCCGAAAATCTCTGCCTTTGTTCACGTCCATATGGATGGTCAAAAAACTCCAAGGTGCAGACTCCTGGGGCTGCGATAAATCCATCTTCGCTGCCTCCGCGTGATGTGCAGTAACTGGCAACAATGTGGGCATGAACATTATGGCCACACCAGCCGCTGCATGTGTTCAGTGGAGTTCCGGTGCCGTGACCGGGATACGGCTTCTCTTGAAGCGAGGGAGTCCGGACCCATCGTCCACCGGCCGCTTTCTGAGTGTTGGTGCGGATCCATGTCCGGTTCGTGTATCTGTTATATATAAATATATACATATATACACACATTTATAATACCTGTATGCTTATAACGACATATTTTCAAACTTTTCTTTTCATACGTGATTATCTCCTCGGGTTTATCTGTATCTATTTCACTGTCTGCCGGGTCTAAAATGCTTGGTCACCGACCATTGCCTGAGGAGTGGGTGGGGTTAAGAAATGTGTAATCACCAGCCTACGCCTATTGAGGGGGTGGGTTTAAGATCGACGGGCTGCTGAATGTATGTGCGCTTCGGCGCCTCCTCGGATGAAGCCGCGGCCATGGGATTCGCATCGTGAACTTCAAGGCCTCGCAACTCCGCGTAGCGGACTGTCGCTGGATGTCTTCAAATCTACTCTCCCAGACATTGGGATGATGTGCTGCATGCAAAGAGGCAAAGCCGTAGCTCTGCGACCAGCGCATCCTGGACTCTGGGCCAAGCACGGGCAAGCGCCAATGCAGTGACGGCGAGATCTTGTGGGTTGAGTTCTCGAACCTGTCCGAAGCTATCTGAGTGCACAAGGGTTCTGCAGGCCCATGCCAGACGGAGGCTGAGTGGCTTGTACGACTGCTTGGCTCCCGAAGGCAACTACTTAGACAGGGTCTTGCTGCAACGCCCAGTTGCTTTCGACAAAGATTCGGTTCTGTGGCTGGGCGGCTGTTGCATCTACAGTAGCATCACGGCCTTGGCAATCGCTGCTGCAGAGGCAGCTGCCAGCAACGGCCGATCGACGATGCCAAGCCTGGACACACAGCCCCGGACAAAAGCAGTGCTGGTACGGGTGTGGGGCATGGTAGGGGTGATGTCGGTGGTAGTGGACATTTCGTCGCTCCGGAGCTCATACCTTGTTCCGAGATCAGAGCGTTGCGAAGCCCCAAACCAAGTTGTTGAGCTCCTGTGGTTTGGACCTTGGCTGTGGCTTCTGAAAAGCCCAGAGGCAGCACACTACAAGTGCGATCTCAGATAGCCCGCTAGTGTTCAACATGCGTGTACAAGTACAACTGTACCACTTCAGTTCTGCATGTGCTGCGAAGCCCGTCTTCGGGAAGGATGGCAGTCCTCCCCAGTGCCCTGAGAGCCGAAGGCAGCTCATGAAGTGAGATATCTCACAATCGAGGTCCGCACGCATGAATCTTCGTGATTGCTGCATGCCTGCCACGCATGAGCGGCCGGCTCATGCTACCGCTCATCTACTGCCTACTGCCAGTAAAGCCTGCCTGACAGCTGCAAAAAGTGCCGCGTGCATTGAGCCAGGAGTGGCCCAAGCCCACGCTGCCTTCGGAGGAGCTGGCTGATGCAAACAAGGGAAAACACGGGGATCCTTGTTATTAGGACCGCAAAATAAGGTACGCCTAATTTTCGGAAACTCCCATAGTAGTCTCCAGATTGTCACTCTGCTTTGTCAATTCTCCAGCTTGAACGCGCACGGCTCGCCTGAAGCCATGCTTGAAAGTTTCAGCATGCCGGCGTTCGCCGAGACTCAACAAGACAAGATGTTCAGAGCCATAACCTGTCACATCGTCCCTGGCTGACGATTGACATGACTCTAACCTCTTACCAGCTTAACAACGGTCGCTAGGTGCATGCATGGACTTCCAGCCACGTTGCTGAACGAGTCAACCCGGCCGACACCCTGAGCTGCTGGCCATCGACAAGTTCTGCGGGTCGGGCTCCAAAGCCTTGCTTGCGTCTCCGAGCTTGATTGAAGAAGCGTTGGGCAAGAGTTCCAGAGTGTGTTCTCACTGCAAGGGTCTTTGAGACAGAGTGCAGGTCCATGATGGTGTCTTTAGTGTCTTGCTTACATTTCCGTATGGACTGTGTAGTGGCACGGTGTAGCAATACTGCGGCAGGACGAAAGTTTGACCTATTCCTTCCTTCGTCCAAGACAGGCCCCCATTCCCCCGTAGACTCCTAGCGCACAGGACCCACCAGTTACTCTTCCGGAACATTAAAGTAGTATAATTTCAAAACAGGGTATAAAATACTCCGCTGGCCAGGCCATGTACATCGCACTTTTCGCTACTCCGCTACTCCGCAAGATGCCTTAAGACAAGAAAGGCCCAGTAGGTCAAAACTTTCGTCCTCCCGATGTTTTGACAGTTGATTCTGGGTCTGTCGGACAGCACAAAGTGTACTAGTATGTACTAGTCCAAGCTTGAATACCCCGACTTGATAACTACTCTGAGGTTGATCGCTCGTCGTAGAAGTAGGGTACGGTTAGGTACACCGTGAGACGCAGAGTGACGGTCCATATTCTGTCCATATCCGACATATTTGCCGTCTGCGTGGTCTAGCTGGTGCAAATATCTGAATGCAAGACCTGCGCATGCTCTTTGTCGACTGTGGTTCCAATGTTCAAAGCTCTGAGATTCTCGGCCTCCAGCCTAGTCATGGGATTCGGCCAAGGGGGTATGGTACTATGTCGTGTTGCTGTCTCTGGAACTTACGGACGAGAGTGCATCAGGGTGAGTGTCTAGAGCCCTTCGAAGATCCAGTTTAGGTAATGGCGGTGGGCCAGACTAGGAGGGAGTGTGAGCCCGGACATTTAGAACCCCACGCATGCTACGGTGCTTGTACCATACACACGGAGCTTGAAGACTGCAGCCAGCCACTGAGACTCTTGCTTTGACGATGGCTTCTTCGGCTGTGCTCTTCGTCAAAGGTTCATCGGTAGCATTGAATGTGGCATGACCTGTCGGGCTCTGTGCTTCCTGCCTGTATGGCCTGCGGAGGCAATTCTTCATACGCATTCATACGCCCTGACTGCCTCGAGCGATGTTGGATAGCTGCTGTGGCCGCATCTCCTTGATCTTCGCACCTTGAGCTGAATGTGTTGCGGCAGCCCATTAACTTTAATCCGGTCGTGCGTGTTTCGTCTGCACGAGACGAATGGCCGCTGACTCTGCGAGCTTCCGCGGGCTGGGTTTCATTCTGAAAATCCTACGAATCCTACTCACAAGCGGCCGCCCGAGCCTCTGGTTGAGATCTAAAGCCAGATGCACCAATTGCTACGTTGCCACTGCAACAAAATGAAATCTCAAATCTAAATTGACCTGTGCTGAGATTCCTAATAAGCTCTGCAGCAAGAGAGGGAGCTGGACGCGGTCCGTGTAACACGTCAGGGTGATTCACCCACAGGTAAAAGAAAACATTTAGCTTTGATCTCGCGAAACAAGCAGCTGAAAAACGTCTTCCCCAGGTGATGGAAGAAGATTCTACGCAGCGTTGCTATCATTCCGCACTGTACGAGTAATACTTATACGTCGTGCGCTTGTATGCAATTCGTCCGTGTACACCTGTTCTCAGGAAATCACGAATTTGTTAGACACACCTCTACCGTACGATACACTCGAGCTCCCGTAAAACCTTCCAATTTGTTTGCGCACCCCCACAAGCTCATCATGAACACATTGATGATTCAATGAGTTTCGCTGCTTGTACCCCTCGGATACAACGAGGGGTTGGCTGGGTGTACTAGGGCTCCCGCGAGCAGTCACTGATGGTGCATTCAGCAGCTTTTCGTCTGCCATCGACCCTGAGCATCGATTGCAGCGAAAGCGTGGCATCACGACCCGCAAACCAGGATGCAGTTGGCATGCAAGGTGTGGTCAAGTTTTATGCTGGTGCCTGTACCATGCTGAACACATCATCCCCTCGGTTGCGAAGCTGAGCAATTGGCTTTTGGCGAATGCCCGGCCTCGGGTCTGTTCTGCGTGCTGACCCTTTCAAGAAACAGCAACATACCATGGCGTTCTGCTAGTAGCCACGATATCCTCGATGCTGGCTGAGCGGGCGGCCTGTGTTGCCAAGGCTCTGCGCTCCAAGGTCGTGGATTTTGGCCTAGGATCTGACATGCTCTGTTGAGGATCCATTGTTGACGTTGGGATTTAGATAAGTTGCGACGCTTCTGCCAGCATTGCGCCACTGCTCAGTATCGGGCCCGCCATCGCCAGACTACGTTTATGTATTTCTGTTTCCGAACACTTGACGATGCAGCCCTGACGCACTGCGGCAGACACTTCAACATAAACTCAGGCTTCCACAGATAAAAAGCATGCAGGCCCAAGGCCACTGCAGTGGAGGCTTCTGCCACGGCCTGGTAGAAGGCGTCGCCTTCAACGGCAGGCCTTAGAGCCACCCATCTATTCGAAGAGAAACCTCTAAAAAAGTGTGAGCCCTGAACATCCTGAACCATGCCGCTCTTAAGTTGCCAGGTAAGGGGGTATCGGTATCAACACCGACCGCCCGAATCGACCTTTGAATGTTTTTGCTTGGACCAGCGGCTTCGTGAACGCCCAGGCGGTGATGGAAAGATCCTGGGATCCAAACCGCGGCCTCAGCTGAAGATTTTTGAGACAGCTCAGTCTGGACAACAAACTGACCAAGCGAACTTGCCCTGCGACGTTGTAAGATTCAGGTTAGTGGGTGCGGGTCTTAGGTTCAGACTCTGGTGACATGGTGTTGTGTGGCCTCTGGAACGAACCAAATCTTTTGCATGGAATCTGCCTCGAAACTCGTCAAAAATGAGGCAGATTCAGCGGACGTGAGCCTCTGACACTGGATCTGGAAATATCTGGACTACGAGGGGACGTGTTTCGAGGGTTGCAGTAAATCGCCAGCGAGACAAGGAATCGACGCAAGAGCTGCTCACTGACACGAGGTCAGAAAAAGCCAATGCCAAGGCCCAGGCAATTTCTCAACAGCAAAACCTATGGTCCGGCGGAGAGGGACCTGCAGAACAGGCCGGGGTCCTGCTTCGAGTGCAAGCCCTGACTCGTCGCCAAAAGGGCATCTGCTGGTTCAAGGAGACGGATGTTTGTATAGGTAGGAATGCTCTTGGCTGTTGGCGTGTCGGGCTTCGGAGCGTTGGGAGCTCAAGGCGTGGCCGCAGGTCTGCATGGTTTCCCGCAAGGCTGAAAGCGTCACTGCTCTGCCAGGGCTCTTAAGCCTCCACTAATTCATCAAGTGCCGACGGCCAAACAGCAGCATGCACTCGCTAGCGATGAGTGGTTCCATCGCTTGGCTGCAATGTTTGCAGCCTCAGAGGAGAGGCCTGTCCGTGGCCATGTCAACACTCAACAGTAGGTGCTTTCACGAGGGGTAATGGCATCGTTTTGGCTGCCGATTCTGCTTCCAGTCATTTCTTCCAGAAGCCTCATTTTAAGATCCACCCTGGATTGTAAACTCTTTCACGGGAAAACACTGGGCTGAAGAAAAATGACAGACACACGACCCCGTCCTAGATGAAGACACCGCGTATCTTTAATCCATACTCGCCGGCCGATCCAGAGAACCAGCTTCTGCGGTCCCTTCCACACAAATGCGGGTTTCAGAGAGGGGTGTGATTTGGGGGTCCTTATATCAAATTAAGGATGTTACTATACAGGGTCTAGGCAAGGGTTCCGCTTCAGGCAGCTACTTTACCGGAGCTTACAATACCACGGGCCCCAAATGGAGCCATGACAAAGAACACATGCGCACCCTCTACAATGACTCTACAAGCGTACCAGAAAGAGTTTTACATGCGAACCTGGCGAGTACACTCTAAGGCCTTTCGATGCAAAAGCACGGTACCTGTAACACCGTTCTGATGCCTGCAGCTGCCGCTCTCTAAGCCGTCCCCAAAACCTTCAGTATGCATCTCACCAACCGAGAATCGCCAGCACAACCGAACAACTTCAGTCCAAATCCGAAATGTCGGCACACCATGGCACTGTAAGACCAGGCCCTGAAGTGCAGCACTTCCAGCGCCTCATGCGACCTCGAGAGAGCTCTAAGGCGAGACCGAGGGTCCAGCTTGCCTCAAAGCGCCCGACGGGCCCATCCATCTCCTGCGTCCAACAGAGGGTCTCCCAAAAAAAAGTGACTCAAGGCGTTGTGCTCACTCTCGGGGCCATCTTCAGCTGGCTTCTCGAAACCCTAATTACGCGCCCGACTTAACAGAAACTCTTCTCTAGGGCAGGGCAACCGCTTTGTGGAGATGTCGGGTCAAGCCGCTGAAGACCGTGCGTCTCTGGGCCTTCATGACCAACCACGCACTAGAGATCTGCGTGACTCGCAGTGCTCTCGGGGAACATAACAGAGCTCGGATGAGGTGCTTGCAGGCTGTTGGCATTGGCTGTACAGCCGCTGACCTCGTGACGAGCCTTTCTACAGTTGCCTAGTTGCCTAGCTCATCGGGCACCACTGATCGAAATCCTGCCAGCTGCAATGCCTGGAGTGGAGGATGCCCCACCCTACACTGAGCTCTGGCTGCACGTCTGCAGATTCAATGGGGCCTTGCCTTCAGAGTCAGCATATTGGCATCTGCCTGCGGTTGTGCGCGTGGAGGGAGGGATTTGGTGCCCTCTCCTACGAAACAGTAGACCATGGGAACTAGTGAGGTTCGGCGCCAGAACAATGCAACAGCGATGCACTTGGTTACATCTTCTATCATCTTCATGGTCGCCTCCACGCCAAATCCAAAGGTGAGCAGGACATAGACGTACGTTAGCTCTGAGCCTCAAGCGCACAAAAAGTAGAACTCACTTCCACAAGAGCCAGAATCGGGAGAGCTGCATGGAACCTCGCACAGCTGTCGGCGGTGTCCCTATATTATCAGGACAACAGCATTCAAATTGACCTTGCTTTGGCTCTTCCGCTCAAGCTGTCTTTTTAACTCGCGCCCGAAGCTTCGGCTCCGGCCTTCCTACGTTGACATGTCGCATTGAGTCTGAGCTCCGGTCACAACCACGCCGCCCGATCTGCACTCAAACCTGCACCAAGGCGATGTCTTTATCATTGCAAGAGGTACAAAGGCCATGCTAGATGCGAAAGCCGCGAATCCCTTTACCTGGTCCAGACGTACATTTAACCGTTCCAGTATCAGGCGACCTCCCCTCCAGTTGAGGGTGCGCAGTTGCAAGACTACACAGCAGTACAAAAGTCACCGGCATGCCTGGATAAGCATTGTCCAGGTCGGATGCTGTCAGGTTGCACGCCTTTTGCGCTTGTTCGAAGTACACCTGGTGTGCTGCAGGACAGTGATATTCAGGAAGTGCTTATGACGGCGATGTTGCCAATACTCGTTTTGCAATTCGATAGGAAATAGCTGGTGCGCAAACCATGACCCGAAAGCGGCTGCAGCCACCAGGCCATGTCTGTGAAGGACACTTCCCCAAGACTCACAAACTTACGATCGACTTCCAAAACCCGTCGTGAAGGTGCCCACCTGAGGGGTCACTTCGGCATGGGATTCGTTCGACGGTATGATGCCGACATCCTGCAATTGGGCGCTTCCAGGGCAATGCGTGACCACCAAATTCCTTTCGATTGCGCGGATGCTTCTTCAAACTCCCGCAACTTGCACCCAGGGGCCAGTTCAACAGCACAACAACTCTCTGCGCCAAGGATCTCTAAACCAGTTCAGAGTTCTTCAGATATACCAATGGCCCCAGTAAGCACTGCATCTGGGACCTGCAGGCACCAGAAGAAGAAAGAGCAAGCCACGAGCTTTGGGCGGCCGCCAGTGGCCAGGGAGGACTTGTAGCCTGCCGCACATGGGGTAGAGCTTAGTCTAGACGCAGAGATTCGACAATTAAAAGGATGCTTCGCCTCTCTCTCTCCCTCGTCTTTAAGATGCGTCGTCCTACGTCCTACGATGCTTGCTGAGTTGCTTTGCTTTCTAAAATCCGAAGGCGCCGAAAGCCTGGGCCCGGCCAGGCTCCCCCGAAGGCGCAATGAACGTCTTCAGGTGCCGTCTCCTCTCAGACTCTCAGGCTTCCGATATGAGAGTGCGGCGCCATGCCAAATGGGAATGGGCTACCTGTTTACACCGGTAGCTGTTTCGTTCAGTGTACATGTATACCCATGCCGTTCCACGATAGGTGTTTGCGCGCGAGAGTGTGGCATGCACCCACCCACACATACATAGATAGGTACATAGATGCATGCATGCATACATGCATACGTACGTACATACATGCATACATACAACTTCATAGATGTAAACACATGAGCATAATAAATAACTATACATATATCTATATGTGTGTGCGTGTGGATGCATATGTATTATGTATATGTATGCATATACTTCCATCTGTTTTGTGGGTTTTTATGCTGCATACGTACTCAAGCTGCAGGTTACAAGTGGCAATGCCGCGAGGTGCGCAGGTCAGATTCCTTTTGGAGAGTCCCTGCAGTCCGTGGGCTAAAATTCCAGTGCAAAGAAGCACCTGCAAAGTATCGGCTGCATGTCTAGGCCTGCATGCACAACATGACCCCAAAAGCTGCAAGCCAATTCTGTTTGTCGCCGAGCCCTCGTTTGGGCCTGCGAGCACGACAAACCAGGCTGCAGGATCCTGCGCCAGGTGTTAGGAATGGGGGCTCGCCAAGGTTGACTGCTTCAGGCCGTGGCTATGAACATTGTCGTCGCCATTGAGGTTCTGAGTGCGACTTAAGCTGCCAAACGCCTGCCGTTATGTTCATCACTGGTGGAGGGATCCTTGTCACTGGTGGAATCAAAACATTGTATCCGTAGTCAGTTGACCCTCGCATGCACGGCTCTCTGATTGGTTCAGGCTGCACTTTCACGGAAACCTCGAGTATACCAGGCGCAAGCAAAGTTTGCCACAGGCAATCGTGTCAGCCATGTTTGTTTCAAGGGAAAAGTGGCTGCTAACCTCGGCAGTCCTCCTGAAGAGCTCTGCGCATCTAGCTTGGTCTGCAGCACCGCGGCCTCCCAGCATAGCAGCGACAGACATGAAGGTGTGCAGTGTTATACTCCGGGCCCAAGGCATCTAATGGTCAGTCACATCCTCTTACTCTGAAGAGCGACAACAAGGGCAGTTGATGTGCACTTCTGAAGATAAGGCATGGTCGCTTGCCGTGCAGCACTAAGTCTGCCTCTGAAAGTCTGCTGCATGGAGGTGTACTCCATGTCGAAAAACCTCAACAAAAACTACGATCCAAAGCAAGTACTCTTCGCACCAGAAACTGTCATGGGGCCCATCGAAGGAGGCAATCGATCTACCGATAGAAGGCATCCACTTGCAAGTCGGTAGGCAACCTCGACCTTCTGGGGCTGCAGCGTCGGTAGGCACGGGTTTTTGTCAGATGCCTGGAGCGCGGTAGCCTCCTGAAAGCAGGCAGTCCGATTCAGGTGAGGAGCGTGCTTGAGTTGCTGTGTAGACTTCGCTTCAGCAATTTGCGACAGCCCTTGTTGAAAACCCGGCCTCGGCCAAAGACCTTGTCTGTCGCAGAAAGAGTCCAAGCTTTCATGTGAGTTTTCTTTCTTTCAGCTAGCCGATACCTTATGCCTACTGGTGTGTCAGAACCCTTTGTGATGTGGATGTTAGCATCCCGTTTCGCCTCCGCCTTCGTGTTCTGTTTCGTTCGCTTCTTCAACCTCACCTAATCAGCGAACATGTGGGCTTGCTCACCACGATGACTCTTCGCTCCCGATCTCCGACAGAATTCGGTGAGAGCAACCCTGATCCCTCCCGGAAGGCGGCAAAGCGAGTCCTCAAACATCTTCGCTCGGATGGCCAGGATCCCATAACCAAGATAGCTGTGCTGGTAGATGGGGATGGAGGCCGCTGAGCCTTTCAGTCGCAAAAGAGAAACGCCACCAATTCCTCGTGGCCGGTTACCGAAAAAAGTGATGCGATGCTTCCAACATTCCCGACATGCAAGCGCACAACGGGGAAATGCAACCGCTTCACGCTGCATTGGCTTGCCCGCCTGCAGGACGAAGCCTGGGAGGAAGCACAAACTGACAAAGGCCGTATCGGGATGGCAACGCCTCACAAGTCTACCTTTTCGAAACAACGCATCGCCTTCATCGGCTTCAGTCGCGGTTGCGAGGAATTCGTGAGCTCCTTCCTACTCAATAGTCTTATGGAGTTTTTATCATGTTAACCTGCTATGGAATCCGGACGGTAGTGGTAGTGGTAGTTTCGTAGTTTTGTGTAGTGGTAGTAGTTTTGCAGTAGTGGTAGTGGTGGCATTCGTACGAGCAGCAGCAGCAGTCGTGGTGGTGGTGGTGGTGATAGCTGTTGCAGCAGCAGGAGTCGTAGTTGTGGTGTCGACGACCTGCACACTTATAGCAGCTCCGCAGGGCAGCAACTCATCACAAGGGCCAGAATAGGTCCAGTGCCAATCGAATCGAAAACAGTAGCACTTGTAGCAGTCGTCGTCCTGATCGGAGTCGCGGTGGTGGTAGTACTAGATGTCCAAGTCGCAGTAGCAGTAGCGGTAGCTGTAGCAGCAGTAGGAGTAGTAGTAGTAGTAGTAGGAGCGGTAGTAGTAGTAGTAGTAGTAGTAGTAGTAGTAGTAGTAGTAGTAGTAGTAGTAGTAGGAGCAGTAGTAGTAGTAGTAGTAGTAGTAGTAGTAGGAGCAGTAGTAGTAGTAGTAGTAGTAGTAGTAGTAGTAGTAGTAGTCGTAGTAGTCGGTAGCAGGTAGCGGTGGTAGTAGCAGTAGTAGTAGTAGTAGTAGTAGCCGTAGGAAGAAGTAAGAAGAAGTAGCGGTAGAAGTAGCACTAGTGGCAGCAGTTGCAGCAGCAGTAGTAGTGGCTGCAGTCCCAACAGTCGGAATGCCGCGTACGGTAACAGTTGCAATGATGCTAGAAGACTGATGATCAACGGTAGTCTCTATACGAGAACACAACTTCAGAGTGGAGAATCGTGCTCTAATCATACTGATAGAAGTAGTCAAGAGTCAAGAGGAGAAACCAAACAAAGTAAGCATAGTAAGGCATAGTAGTAGAAGGAGAGTATGGTTGCGCTTGCAATGGCTGCTTTAGCTGTAATGAGGCCCGAGCTCGCGGATGTAGGCGGCTTGGAGCTCTTGGGTTACTCTCGCAAGCCGGAAGGGTTGGACGGCATATGTCATCCTTGGTCTCGTCACGACAAACTTAGATGATCCTCCTAAGCAGAAACACTTCGCTCCTTCTGAGAGCAGTTCTTAAGCACTACATGTCCCGCACATCCGCTGTGCCCCCGGATCCACGTAGATTGACGCGACCCGCAGCAGCTCCCAGGCAAGAACGCAAGGCTAAGGAGCAACGTTTCTTAAGCCAGTGGCTGAGCTGACGCCCCTCCCAACTCGAACACGGCGGCCTGACAGCGGGGAGGGTTCAGGCACCAAGCTGAAACAACTCCTCCTGAAGAGCAAGCCTTAAGGCTTGCCCTGGCCCTCCAACCGCTCCCCCAAGGCTGTGGTTGCTCCAAGGGCCCAGCTGGCGCGCCATCCTTTTCGAAAGCTCCCAGCAAGCTGTTCACCGCCTGGCAATGCGGGAGGTGAACCTGCCCCGTGATGACCTAATGCTTTTGTGCCAGCCATCACTGGACAAGGAACTGCGAATCTTGTGGCATCCATGCATGCGGAGTCGCTTGTCACGATGGTGCGCAAGTGCCGATTCCATGGTCCGAAGCAATCGCGGCAGCTTGCGGCCAAGCTTCAATCCATTGCAGGCAGCCCTCGTCATCGCCGCCCATCACCTGCACAGAGTCGCGTGTCAAAGCTTGGCCAGCTTACGTCTCGAAGGCAAAGAAGTGCCTCGACCGTAGAGTTCAGAAGGGCATGCTCCCGAACGAGGTCTTGGATCCCATCCCTGGGCAGTGCCGCGAAACAAGCTCTAACTTCAGTGACGCGCTACAGTAACCGCTGCTCAGCTCCGATTTGCGGTCTTACGGTGTGCGTGCAAACTGGAAACTCCCGCCTGCCGGCATGTTTTGTGTACGGACGTGGCCAGCGCTTGCAAACTTGCAGCAGCATGCAAAATGTAGGCCCCGGCCCACCAAACATTGCAAGCAATTGAATTTACGAGCGGCAAAACTGCACTTCGCTGCTACGGAACACTGTGTGAGAATTGCAACTTGCCGGGTCGCAGGAGGAAGTCGACTTGGACAGGATCCAAAAGCCGGAAACCTGTCTCGCTTCGAAGGAAAGCGAATCGCAAGGCTCGGGGCTCGGACGCTCGGACGTGCTCAGGGCTGGGTCTCGGATGGTGGCACCTAAATGGCTCTTTACGTGAGCAATGCATCTACAAAAAGAGCTGCTCTGCAATGATCCCAAAGACAGGGCTACGACGTGACACCGCCACGCCCAAATCAAGGCCTGCTGTTGCCCGGACTGCCAAAGGGGTTGTGGAGAGAAATTGCTGAGGCACCTGCCGTCAGAGGTCAGCGCTGGAGAGACAATCGATTTGGTCCGTGTTGCGAAACTAATGGCACGCAAGGCACTCGCAGGGTTACTTCCGAGAGGAGTGGCTGCAGGAGTGACGACCTCGGCAAGATCACGGTTGGCCAGAACAGGCATTATTAGGACACTAGACGGTGCTTCTGGTTTTCCATTGTGCTACGGCGTGCTGCTATGCTGACAGAATCGCATACGGCGTCCTGCTGGTCCTGTCGTGGCTGCCAGATCATCTCCAGCTATGCTGCTCGCCTATAGGCAATTTGATATCTAGTCGCTATGATGAGGAAAGTGCCAAACATCAACAAGCGTCGGACGCAACACTCGAACAGCTCACCACTCCATGCATGGAGCACCAGTTTCTAAAGCCAGATTTGTTTTTGCTTACACCTACTCGGACCGGCAGTCTGAATGCTTCTGAGGATGGCATTTAATCGTCGATCCTTCTCTATTTCAGTGATCAAAATTCGCCGGGTGTGTACCGACTGCATCCAACTGCTAGAATCATGCACGTCTGGCACAGCTTCTCTCTTGCCGACTGTCCGACTGTCGTGCCGGAAGAAAGGCGTCAAAGAAAACCCGCAGAAACTTGGGCCGTGACAAGCACGTTGGCTCCGAGCAAGTGTTGAGACCGGGCCGTGTCTTCCTTGTCAGGACAGAACGGAGCCGCGCTCTCTCTTCTTCCACACAAACAAGAGAGAAGGCGGTCCCCAGCTCCGCACGCAAGCAGGCACTGGTAGTGCTCTCACTCTCTCACTCTTGCTTGCTTGCGCTCTCTCTCGCTCGCTGGGCATTTGGGGTCAGTGGATGTCAGTGGAAGAGTTTGCTTTCAGCAGTCGGTCTAGCTGGTAGAGTGCGTCCTGGAGTCTCCCCAGTCCACTTCGTCTTCAAGGTCACAGAGTGTGTAGGTCGCGGTGTATGAAAGCCCCTGTTTCGCCACTGCTCTGTGGCTCGTCCATGGGTGGTGGTAACCCTGCTCGCACTGGTCGGCGTCTTTGGGCCCCCCGTCTTTTGGTAGTCTTGGTTGGCTGGCCACGGCACGGTTGGATCGGCCCCTTCCCTCCTCTGTCTTTGGCGGGCTTTGGCTCTCTTTCGTACCTTCCGAGCTTGTTGGAGGAGTTCAGGGATCGTGTGCGGGTAGCGCATGATGAAGACCCCGGTTTTCGTCCGCAATTTTTGGCAGATATTGGTCTGCGATGCGACCACTTGGTCAGCGGCCTTCCCCAGCGCGTACGACTGGGCCTCGTCCTCTGTTAAAAACCCTTTTTATGCTGCCACTTCTCGGCTACTCCCAGGTCACTTTTCGGCCGATCCACTTCCATGTGGGCCAGGCTCGGCTTCGGTGGCATTGCAGTTGCTTCTCCCCTGCTGCTGCGACCTGATCCCCCCTGTCGGCGTGGTGGGATCGAGGTCGTCATGTTCTCCTTTATCCCATGCAATCTGCAGGCGGGGTCTGCTCGGAGGGTTTTCCTGTACCCCAGCCTGTCAGTCTGCACAGGCGACACTCTTTGTCGCTGTTCGCCATCCCCAGTGAAAGGTTCCAGGAAGTAGCCCTTGAGTTCCTCAGGCAATCAGTATGACCCTCCCCCTACTGACGGGCCACCCCCGAAGGCGGCCGTGGTCAGGGGTCGGGTGTCTCAAAAAGGACGACGGGGCCACTTAAGCACACGGCTGCGGACGTGTGACTCAAGCACCGCTGAGGAAACCGGGCAGGCTCGCTTGGAGTAACAATCCAGGTCAACCCCCCGGCTCCCGCCCCGATGCAAGAGGGCGGCACAAGCCCCCAAGCAAAGGGTGCAGCACTTGAGCCAAACTCTCTCTCTCTCTCTCGCTCCCGGGCATGGGGGCCGATCAAAGCCCCCGGGCATCATGCCCACTCAATGTGTTATTGGGCAACGGGAAGTGAAGAACGAGTGTAGGTCATCAGCTGGATACAGCCATACAGTCTACGATAACGAACTCCAAACGACCGCACACTCTCAAAGGACACATGCTGACTGCCAATAGTCTTTCCCCGCTCCGCCACACAAAGTCTCTCTCTTCTTCTTCTTCTGCAGGGCTTAAGGGGCTTGTCAGGTCCCCCGGCCTCGTGGGCCCCCCGTTTGTTACGGGGCTTTCGGTAGGGCGTGAAAATTCATGGGTTCCCCCAGCTTCATTCGAAGACAGTGTAGTGGACTATGAAACACCTAGGATCGCCCATGTTTGCCGACACATGCAACCAACCTCACTCGTGGGTACTGGACTAGCAGGAAGATCTTGCTTGTACATAATAGTATAATTGTGTGTCCCCCACTGTGAGTTGGCACTAATTTTCTTATCGCCCGAAGCTGTAGGCACTTTACGTGTGCGCTGGTGCTTCGGATCACAGGTCCCCTCGATTTGTTGCAGCATGCTACTGTAAAGAAACAATAGACACCATGACAATACAAGAGACAGTGTCGAGGGTCCGGGGTTCAGCACATTTCAGAGACAAACTGTGTGAAACTGTGGTTCCCAGTACCATGTTTTGGCGCAGTAAGTGTCTTTCTCGCTCTCTCTCTCTCTCTCTCTCTCTGTCTCTCTCTCTCTCTCTCTCTCTCTCTCTCTCGCGAAGTCTCGAAGTGTCAGCTGCGTTCACCGCCGTCAAGAAACCCAAGACTCTATCAAAACCCTGCCCACCCCCCTTGCACCTATGACTCAGGCGTGTATGTTTCTCGCAGTCCCGGTTTTCGGCTTTCTTGGGATGTTTTTGGCCACCCACTCTGCACAGCATGCTTGAGCTGCCTCGGCAAGGTATGCAAAGTCTATACCTGAGACTTAACAGGATTGTTCAGAGGGCACATTTATGAGCTGTGGCGCCGCTCATGTCTAGAGACGCACCTCACGTTTTCAGATCGGCGCAGGAAATCTCGCAAGCAGCGTCATGTCGAAACCGCAATGTGCCAGAATCCGCGAGTCGCGCGGCAGACTACAGAGAGTCCAACAGCCTATGGCAACCCTCCCGGCGCCTCACAACTTCGCTTCCGACAGCACAAACATCGCCTGTACGCCAGCACATGCTGCAATTTCGAGGGCCGGAAGGTGCAGGCTGCAGGCACCATGACTGTGGACCACTATGTCTGCAAGTGATGCAGACTGCGGAGGCCCAGCAGAAAAGGCCTCCCGCGAAACAGTAGATGTGCACGCGGGTGCCGGTGCTCCCTGTCAAACAAACTTGACTTTGTCACGGGGACAGATCGCCCACAAGACCAAGACAAAGCGTGATTGAAACACACTGGAGATAAGTTGCCGCGATTGCCTGCATCGAGCACAACTGCGAAGGGCGACTCCTTCTGATCGCGGTGCCACTGCTGAAAGATGATGGCCGGCTCCCAGGTACTGAAGGCCACGATCCTGAAACAGCCAAGGCTTTCTGACAGCTTGAAAGTTTGCAAGCATCTACTAATCTACTAGCCCACAGCCCTCACGTGCCGTCCCGTGTCACGGAGTGAAGTCCTTCAGCCTCCGGCCTCAATCTTGCCCTGACCTGCAGCCTTCGCGTTCCCTGGACTCTGCTCTGATGGCCCGAGGCACCCGGACACGCAGCTCGCAGCGGCCGAGAGGGCGGCACATGCAAACCCCGCCTTCCGACACAGTCTTGGCAATCCCTCGCCACGCAGCGTCACAGCTCACACTGAGGTGGCTGCGAGCCTACCTGAACCTCGGGGTAGAGAAAACACAGGCGAGGCTTCCTTGTACATGATTCGTGCTACCTGAAGGGTTCTGATGACATGCCAGCCCTTCGGGGTCTCCTTGGGTAAGTGCAGGGTTGCAAAAGGAGTGGCATAGCACTCAGAGCATTCCCCCGTCATATGACGAAGACCAACATGGAGCTGCCAGAGCTCCATGCGAACGAGTAATTATGTGGAGGACCCGCTGCACACTAGCAGGTACCCGACACGGCGCAACGGATATGACTGAGAAATGACATAGTCGTAGTCCATCGTCGTAATACTCCATCCAAGCTCCAGTCTGTAGCCTATGCTTTCAAGACCTCACAACTCGCGCCCATGACTCTGATAAACCCTAATCGATCACGTGGGTTCAAGCAAGGGGGGCATATCTTAAGCATGTCTGCATGTCCCACCCTCAGCCGATGGCTGCGGGCGCAGTGCGCGAGACGGGGCGACTTGGATGGAGATGCGGTCTTGAAGAAGTCCTCAGCGGAAAACTGCAAAGTGACGACCGGATCACAACGAATTAAGGAGCGGAATGCTGCAGCTAAACGATGCTAAACGCTAGGACCAGTTGGCTATGGGCTTGTAACTTGGCATACGGGTACCCCGAAGCCGAACGCGACCTGTCTGCAAACGGAGGAACATGGTGTATGTCGAGCCGACGTCCAGCACTCTCGCTGAAGCAATGTGCAACACTTCAGTCCGCAAGAAGCACAAGTGTCCTGCTCCGGCAAGGCCTGTTCGACTGTTTGTAAGTCGAGACGCACCTCACCACAGGTTCCATCACCATCAGTGACAGCAGGATGCAGCACCATGACCACAACCCGACAGCGAAGCAGTGCATGCTGTGCCTGCACCGCTGCTTTGGCCATCGACGGCCAAAAGGCCACATCGTTAAATTGCGGCTTGAAGTCCCGAGTGTCGCAACTAACATGCGAGGCTAGCTTGCATCGGGCTTGCATCGTCGAGCGCATGTTGCACCTGCTGTCAGGTTCCTGTGTCGTGTGCACGGATCTGGACGTCTTAGTCTCAGTGCGTGCTTGGCCATGTTGATGCCGAGGGATCAGGCAGGTATTTTGTACTGTGATAAGCTTTATCGGATTGGGGAGCCCTTCCATGTTTTCCCTCGGGGTGAGCCACCGGGGGCTGTGTCCGCGAAGGCACAAGGCAACGTTGTTTATAGGCACAGATTCGTCCTCCAGGATCTCTTAGCCTATGTCGGGCATGATGCAAGCAGGTTGAACAGTTCAGATGCCCATCAAATCTGACGGAGGAGAAAAGCATCGTGCGACTGCGGAGGAGCCTCGCCAAAGCCTGCGTGCCGCACTGGGACATTACAACCACGAACGACACGGTTAGGGCTGGGGAAGAAGTGTGGCATGACTGTGGCAAGGCGTGCAAACATCGAGTTACGACTCCAACAACTTTGGGATGCGATTGGAGTCACAAAGTGCGCATCCAGCACTAGGCTCAAAGGGCCGGGCGTTGCAAAGTGGCAGAAGCCCATGACAGATTCGACAAGTCCACTGGGCTCATCTGGGCCTCCCACAGCAGCACATGTTTTGCTACGTTGCACATCCAGTATCCAACAGATTCCGACAGCAATCGAGACACTGTGCCACCCAAAGCATGACCCCCGCCATCAGGTCGCTGGCGGCGGCTGAGAGAGCATCAGCCAGTGCGTTGCCTGACGAGCGGATCGAGCCTAGTGGCAAGCTTGAGGCTGCACTTTCTGCCTGCCCAGCATCTCCAGCATCCCAAGTGCAGTCCACGAGCCTTCGACCAACAGCTTCGCGACCGCCCACAAGATATTCACCTCTGCAAGGCTCGTTTAATGGGGCCACAGAAACTAGCCTCCGGAATGCAGGCACCCAGAACGATTGCCTGGCAGCTCGGTACAGTCTCGATAATTCTAGCATATTGCATATGATGGGGTCCAGTACCAGCATGTCAAGGCCACATCTGGAGAGGAGAAGAAAAATCCACGAAGTCTGAAGCTCTAGATGCTCTAGTCATGACATCTTCTGTGGTGCAAGCGAGAGCTGCTCAAGGCTGCGACGACACCCTGCGTGCCAAGTTCCCCAAGGAGGCGCCAGGAGGCCTGAGCAACAGCGGCAAGCTTCTGGTTCTGACGTGAACACGCCTTGGCAAGGCGCGAGGATGGTGCAGATCTGCTCGGACTCAGGCGAGTGTTGCCGCATCTATCACCTCACTGCAGCGATTAATGGTCGATGGTTTTTAAAATTTTTGGTCAGCACCTGCATGTTCCCGCTATGATTCCAGCAGAGCTTCGCGGAACGTACACGGGTCTCGCGCTGCGTGCACTGCCGTCAGGAGCCGGCCCGAGCATTCGCACGAACTGCTTTGGCAGGACCCCAGGCAGTGGTGGCCACCTTGGACGCCATGCCAGTCCGATTGCACTGCTGTGAAAACTGAGCCGTCGACGTGTTGCGAAGTGAGCTCCAGGATCTTCAGCTGCACCTGGACCCTGCGTTCGGGCATCTGCAAATAATTTCGTCGGTTGGAGCTGCGAAGTACCATTTGCAGCAGGCTTGATATTAGATGGCACCAGGTCTAAGCTGGTGTTCTGTGGGAGTGCAACGACTTCGCAATGCAGGCAAAGCATTAAACGACGGAATTTGAGTACTGGCCAAGGGAAGTCACACGGAACATCCGCCTGATCGCATCCATCAGTGGCGGCCTCAGCCTCAAGCAGAACAGTGGCCTTGAACATTTGCAGACTCACTCGCTCTTGTCAACTATCATCTACGTCATTGTGGCTTCTGATGGATAAAATGCCTTTCTCAGAGGCTCTCCCAAGTGGGATGTCTCTCACCTTCCCTCAGCATACTCGGCGTCCCTGCACGTTCGATGCAGCAAGCGCCCGTGCCGTGTTGGCGGGGCCTTGTATTGCAACTGCGCTGCATAATTGGTCCCCCGACCAAACCACTTGTACATGTAGACAAATCTCGAACGGCTAACACATGATGGCATACCTATACTTACATGCATCCAGGCATGCATGCGTACTTACATACATGCATGCATACATACCTGCAAACATACTCAAATAATTACATAATTACGTGCATGCATTCATTCGTTCAATCATTCATGACTGAATTCATTCATTCATTCGCAGCTATCCCGCGAGTTCACGAAAGCTGACTCAGAGCCCGCTATTGGGACCCAACCACCTTTACTGGTGCCCATCGCTTTCCCTTCGAGCCCGAAACCACGGGCGCAACAGCGACTAACCGACTCCACTCACCCAAAATGCAGAAAGAAACCGAGCAAACAGGAGAGCAGCAGCGTCAAGCCGGTCGCCAACACGCTTGGATCAAAACTGCATGCTGCAGAATCAGAAGGTGGCCTACTTCGGCATATCCGTTACCTACCTACCGACGTATCCACAAACATACATACATATGCATAGAGATACATTGGTTCATATGTGTAGTTTCTCACATGTGCGCCAGCAAACACTGGAGGTGTGCCAGTATGGAGCCGGGAATGTGCCTTGTCGGTCTGCTTTGTCAATGCTGCCCACCGAGGCATCAGCAATACCTAAATGGCAAAGCGAGGCAACTGTTTTACGATTAGTCACTTCCCCCCCTCCAAATATTTAGCATTGATTCAAGTCTCTATGGGGTGCATGTGTTTCTTCACCTGGTAGTGCTCAGTCGAACTTTTGCTAGCTCCTTGATTTTGCAGTCTCTAGACCTCGAAGTCATACGGCTTGGAGAGGCGGATGCACCGAATGATCGAATGAGATAGTAGCAGTGGACGCACCCAAGATTGGTGCTAGCATAATGAGTGAAAGCATTTCAAGGTTCGCTTTTGATTCAGATGGTCATGACTCCATGACTACTACTGAACCAGGGGCCAATCATCGTCATCTTAGCAGTCAGCATGGAGCCGCCAGGGACCAAGCAGTCCAAGGGCGGCAAGCCCTTCAGGCCGGTTTTTGCAGGAGACCGTGCCAGGTTCGACCTTGTCACGGCAACACTTTGCAAGCTGGGTCGTGCTGCTGCCGTGCTGAGTCCTAAACCTAAACATCTACGGTGCCGTTGTCGAACGGCCCGATGAGGAGTGGGTGTTTATGGTGTTCCTTGCCACGCTTGGGGGCGCCGCAGTGTCGGCTTCGGCAGGGTTGCAACCGGGACTGGGATCAATCTTTGTAGGACAGAAGCTTTGCCACACTTCGTTTGATTGCTGCCCGAGTAGATGTAAACCCGAGATTCGACATGATCCGACCCAAGTACAAAATCATGGCATGCTACAGGTGTCGCTTCTCTCAGGATGCATGGTCCTGGCACTCTCAGAGCTTGGAAACCGACGAGTGCTGCGGCGCGAAGGACTCGATTCTCAGCATGCATTGCGTGGAAGTCGCCGAAAGGAGCACCCTGCCCTGCCAACCTGTCCAGATTCAGCAGCTGAAAGCTTTGAAAGGGCTGCGGCTGCCCCTGCCCATGGAACGTTCCCAACCGCAAAGAACTATTCACCAGGATGGCAAGTGTGCGGAGACAAAGTCGCAACCGCAGTAAACTGAGGAGATGTACAATGAGGAGGTGCCGACAGCGTGAAATCTCTCCGAGTCCATTGATGCCTGGTTTCCTCGTCCCCCATGCGACCTGTTCCAGCAGCCACGCAGCTCGACGGAACGTGCCTACGCTACCTACCCATTCTGGCAATGAGGTGCAGGCATTGGACAAGTTTTGTGGACCCCCTTCTGCAATTCGGGCGGCTGCGGCACTTGAAACCTCATATGTGGCACAGAGGGCTCGAGTCGGCTGGAGGTGCCGGTGCTGCGACCGATTGATTCCCCAGTGGGCTACGTACCGACATGACGAGACTGCCGAATTGCGCCAAGAAAGGCTGAGTCACGGCACCTATGACGCATAGCTTGTCTGCAGGAGGCTATCATGACAGGTGATGCCCGGATGGTTGAATGCAAGTGATCTGCTGCACAGCCGTGTCTCAGGTCGCAGCCTCTTACGACAATGAAGCCTGCACAGCAGGGCAAACTCTTCTGCATCAGACTTTGCCTGCTACGCCCTGTGATAACCATCGAAGCTTGACTTGACATCAACGCTTTGCAAGCTGCCAAGGCCAGCATGTCTTGCTGTGCCAAGATGGCAGGACCATGGCCTCGAACTAGCGCTGCTGGGCAAACCCCCAGCCTTGGAGACAAGTCGGAAGCCTACCCTATGGCGGGCTGGCGAAAGCCGTCTGCCAGGATCCAGTGCAGCTGCAGTTCCCGGATGAAGATAAAGCTCGAATCGATCGCTGCCGGTTTGCGTGCTTCAGGTAGGCTACTAGGGACCAGGCTGGAATGATGCTTCAAGTGTTCCAAGCAACGACAGGCCGGGGAAGGGACAGATGTTCGCCAAGTTTCGCATCGTGGGCTCATGCCTCGGCTGAGGTCTGTGTGCCCAGAATGGAAACACCATCCAGATTCAGATAGCGACAAACAAGCAAGAGCAAGAGAACGACAACTACAAGCACTCGCGGCATCATGTGCATTAAGTCTGCGACTGATAGCTTGATGCACATACATGAGATATTACACAATGCCAGCTAAATGCAGCAAGCACCTTCTTCAAGCCTTTTCTGGCCCAAACAATTCTCACGGAGATTGCTGTAGCAGGTATGACGATCTCTACAAGCGCCTGGATGACTCCAATCTCACGGTACTCAATTTAATAGCCGGTCGAAGAGAACCATCGAGACTCTGGAAACCTTTCCTCCACATAGCGAAACAGACGAAGTAGTACATGCCTGACGCCCACTGAGAGCTGCGCACGAGAAGATGCACATTCTGCCTTACGGAAACGGTCTTCAGAGAGACGGGCGTGTAAAATCGACGACTGTCCAAACAGAATGTGTCCCCGAGGTCCTAGACATCGGTTCGTAAGTAAGTATGTACCGATTCTTGCCCTGCTTGCTTCCACCCACGCAACTGTCAAGCAGGAAGCTTGAACTTAACCTGGCTGGATCACCCGAATTCCGCACTAGCTCCCTGGGTGACGACTGGGAACCAAGCGCGAGCAAGTCGAGCGATGCTCAGCCAGAAACCAGCAGCTTGGTCCTTGATGCTGTGGTCGTGAGTGCATGCTTGATCCATCGATCCAGCCAGCAATGAAAGTGGAGCGAGCAAACTCTTAAGAGCCGTCACCCTGGGAAGCTACACTCAGTCCAAGTAGCCGAAGCAAACTCATGCAGTGATGGCAGAAGGTTTGTCCGACATATCCGCCGAGGCCACAGGCGTCTTGGGGGTTAGCTCAGGTACCCCACCTAATCCTCCTCCCTGCGGTCCAAATGTTTGGGGACACCCGTTTTTTGCGTTCGTTTGCCTGTTGGCCCTCACAGGCCCCTCCCCCCCCCTGCCGCCCCCTCGCGCCCGCTCCCCCCCTCCCCCCCCCTCTCCCCCCCCTCTGAGATGTAACCTGGACGTGTATCCCCTCGCTAGGCGTACAGGAACACAGGCACTCAGGTGTCTGTTTTGCTACAGGCGCACAGCTGTAGTCCACTGCACTAGAACCTTGAGCAACAGGCATGGATACATGCAAGTGATACGTGAAACAGACAGGCACCTGGATGTGTAACATTCAGTGTTTCAACCAGGCACAAATTTAAAACACGTAGAGCTGCATGGCCGTGGAGTCGGCATTCAACTAGCCTGTTATTGCTCTCGGTCGAATTAGCGGAGTATTGAGCTACATCTGCGACTTGAAGAGAATCTATACATCTCTCACCTGAAGACAGCTTCAATGAAAAGAGCAGAACACGCACGAAAACGCAAACGGATCTTCAACTGAAAACTTTTGCTTGAAAGTTGCCCACTTGTGTTCAGTTTCCTCTCCAGGCGGAAAGCTTACTGTCACATAAAAGATTGTAGAGCTTAGCTCCACTTGATGCCAGCATGACATCTTGCGACACGGCAAATATATAAGGGCATGAGAAGTATCTTATCTTGAGATAAGTATCTTTCTTTGAGAAAGAGTTCTTTAGGAAGTACCTTTTCCTGAGAAAAGCATCTCCCTATGAAATGACGAATGCTCAAGTGGATACCTTCTTCTGAAAGAAGCATTCCGTGAAACACTCTGCCAGTTCAGTCGATGAACTCTATGTCGCGATCCCAGGTTCTATCACGCCAATGTTCAGTACCATGCCAGCGGTAAATGTCAACCGTGTGGATCGGCATCACCGGAGCATGGCGAACAGGGTCGTAACCGCGGGGATCAGCAGGGGATCTAGGTAACGAGATCTGTGGATCAGGAGCAACGGCATCATCTTGTTCCAAAAGAACCTCGTCGAGTCCATTGTCCATTTCCACATCCGAAGAATCGGAACCTAGTCAGTGTTTCCCCTTGCTCTTGCCCTTGGACTTGTCCTTGGACTTGCCTTTGGACTTGCCCTTGTCGGCGTCCTTGCCTTTTCCTTTGGAGGACTTGCCTCCTTTGCCGCCTTCTTTGCCACCAGGAGGTTGTGCGGGTTCTTGAGGACGTTGAGAACCAGAAGCTTTAGCACCAGAAGCTGCCTCTTCCTGAGAAGAGCTTGCTCCCTGTGGTGCGGCTGCAGGACCAGTAGAACCAGAACCACGCGCCTTGTTCAGCTTCTGTCTCTCTTTTCTTCTGTCCGCGGCTTCCTTCATGGTGTCGGGATTGCGGTTGAGCGCTCTCATCCTGCCTCCAGAGTACTGGTTCGCGTGAACCTCGATGAGGAGCGGAGTGTGAGCGTCATAGTCCCGATCGTTGAGAAGGTACGCGGCGCTGGTGGAGTTTAACAGCCACTCAGAGACATGGATGTCGAACTCAGTCTTTGAAGACGGAAACTCCGCCCATTGATCGTCCGACATGCTGTGTCCCCATTCCATGACTGTAGCCATAACAGGATCCAAACCAGGAAAAGTATTCCAGTCTGGTTGCTTAGCTTCCTTGTATGGCATTCCCAGCGTGTCCTCATACTGTTTCAGAAGCCACATGGCGTTTGCTGACACATGTCTCGCACGAGGCGAACAGAAGTGTGGGCACTTTGGGCTTTCTGACCATGCCTCCAAGAAGTAGTCGAGAAGGCTTTGGTACATTCCGCCACGAATATCCATCGACTCCTGCTTTCGGCCGGTGGCCCGGTAGAGGGCCATGTTGGCGTCGCCACCGATGAGGTCGACTTGGTAGTGCAAGCAGTCGATGAACATGTTGCCCAACACTTCATGAGCCAACGCCACTTTGTCTGCGAGCCGGCAAGACGGGTGATCGAAGATCCGACACCATTTGTACGACTTCCCACCATCAGTTCCTTGGACTCGTTACGAAGGAATTGCCAACCGCGTGACTTGAGGAAGGCCTCTTCGGAGTCATCGATCTTAGCCGCTTCGCAGAGCATGAACAAATGCGTCTTCGACTGTGCAATCGATTTTATCAAGGCTCCTTTAGATGGTGTAGCATCGTCCCAGTCAATGTGATTAGCAACGGAGCTAGGAGCGGAACGCTTTCTTCCCCTGCTCATGTTGCCGAGATTGAGGATGAGCGCGGCATACTTGGTCTTGCTGGTGAAGATAGGGACATTGGAGTCCTCTGCCAGACCAAAACGATGAATATAAGGATTCGGCGTCTTCTCAAGAGAGAGGTCCCCGATCTCCTCTTCATCGACTCCGGTGCTCAAGAAGTAGTGAAGCATAGCATTCAAAAGTTCTTCTCGAGTTGCCGGATTGCCGCTTGCATCCAGGGACTTCAGCTTATCAAGAAGTGCTTCCATAACATCCAGTGCTGATTCTCGGATGTCAGAGGCCTTGCCCATGAGCTTGTCGTCCAAGGTGCTACGAACGTCCCCAGAACGAAAAACAACGTCCTTTTTGTCGGGACGACGCTCGTAGATGGGATCCATCTTGTTGAGTTGGTCGAATAGATCCACCATAGAGAGAGAGTATTTCTGTCCCTTGTGGTTCGGAACATTTACCCTCCAACTCATATGCTGCACCTTGTAGGCGAGAACGGGCTCGTAATCAGGATCACGAAGTCCTGTATGATACAAGCCTGAATAGCCATATCCATGCAGCTGCTTGCAGAGCAGCCGCATAGGGCTTTGTCGTTCGATTTCGGTGAGCTGCGTAAGGAAATGTTTGAACTCTTCGAGATCGACGAGCTCGATCTTTTCCTTTGCTTTGCCCATCTTGTCGAACGCGTTCTCATTCTGGTCCTCTGCATCCTTCGCGGCCTGGTAGTACTCAGGATCCGGAACAGTCTTGCATTTCCCCCAGATGCCTTGATCGTGAAGTTCACTTTCATCATCCTTCTCGGGAGAAATGTCTGGCATGGATTCCTCACCCTGTGGTGAGCCTTCCTCAGCCATTTCGATGTTCTCGGACTTACC